TTCATTCATGCGCAGTGTTTTCTTGTGACATGAATACAACAAAACAAAAGGTTTAGTTGTTCAAAATATTCATTTGTATGTTTCAAATTTATGATCTTCATTTTCATACTTTGCACAAAATCATAACAAAATGTATTGAAGGCCAAATCCAAATCTTTCACAACCAGTCTGTGTCTGTTCCCCCACTGTATAGCAGGGGGAAAAATAAAAATTATACATTACTCTCTATTGGATTTATTTTGATTTGAAGTTCAGCACATAATCAGCTCATACCCCTCTAATTAGGTGAAGCCATACCAAACAATTGCTGTTTTGTTGTCAAGTAAGCATCTATGAACCCATAAAAAAAATTTAAAAGTTTGTTTTATTGCTTGAACACCAGGTGAGTCATTCTATGAGGGAGCACAGTCATGCTTTGCGACAATATAGAGCTTGTGTGGAGGAAGATTTACACGAGCAAGCAATGTCAGTTTGAAAATGTAACCATCATCCCACAGTACTAATACACTAGGTCATCCCTTCTTGTCTCCTTGCTTTTTATGGAATCCCTATATTCCACACTTTTTTAATTCGCAGACTTTTTTATTTACTTGTTGAAAGTATTCGTGTTGTACTAGCAGTGCGGTTGTAAACTCGCTTTTTGCTTGATACACAAGTGTTGAGCTTCAGGTCGGACAAATACTGACTGATCCTCGCTCTGGCTGACCGTAATCATTCTGTACGTGCCTACCTTGTAATGGCAACCTCACTCACGGAACTTCCATTAGTGCTGAGAGAGGGCCGATGGTGGCTCACCCTCAACTTGAAGGAGTGCTTATCACCGACACGATGCTATTCTGCCACTGTTACGATGGAGACTCATCACAGATTTTTGGTAGGATCGTTCAAGCCTGCTGTCAGTTTCTTTTGCGCGCGTCATTGGCCAACTTGAAGCTGTATGCGCAGCACCAGTCTCTGGTCCTGCGTGGCTGATCACGTACCACCATAGCAGTCACTCTCTGCTGTTGGGATTTTAGCCATAATAATGTGTTCAATAGCACTAGCGAGAAAACAAATGGGGTTCACCCAAGGTTTAAGCGATTTTTATGCTATCCATAGATCTCTTTTCTACACAGGCAACGATACCGAAGCTAGCTGGCACATAACTAGAAAAGTTTCCTTGTTACGGAGGTTTACATACATATTGCAGTGCTGAATCAGCAAATATTGTCCACACGTGATCTTGTGACCCCCTCCCCAGGCCCAGTCCGTCAAGTAGCGGTGCTGGCCCGTGCATGTGTGTAAGTTTTAAAACAGTCATGCACATTGCTGGGTTTGCTTTTCATTGGTTTAATTAGCAGCAAGTTATGATTACGTTTCTATATGTTATTACAATGTTACTGGTAATTTTAACACAATATTATACACATTTACCTTACTCCTCAGGAATGGGCATCTGAATGTTCTTAAATACCTGGTGACAGTGGCTCATCATGATTTGGATGTTAAGAACGTACTTGGAGACATCCCTCTTCATCCAGCATGTCGGTGAGTCGTGTGTGTTGTGTTTTGTCAGGGCCTATTTTCATAGAAAAGTATGCAGCCTTTGAAAGTTACGTCACGTCTATTTCACCTTCTGTTCCTACCCTCATCCATGACACCGGCAAGGCCGTTTCTGTTAAAGAAAAAGCCGAAGTTCTCTCTGATTTTTTTGGGAAGTTTTTCACTTCGTCAGTCTCTCGTCTTGGTTTTGCTGATCTTTACACTTTTGGTAATACTGCACAGCAGTGTCCAGATGACTTTTTGTGTACTGTTGAAGAGGTAGAACACCTGTCACCAAATCATCTGGTCCAGATGGAATCTCATCTAAGATGCTTAAATCTGTTGCTCAGAGCATCGCTCCTTCAGTAACGAGACTAGTTAATCAATCAATCAAATCCGGCTGGTGTCCTGTGCTTTGGAAAGTGTCCAACATTGTGCCAATCCCGAAAATAGGCGATAAAATGAACCCCTGCAATTACAGACCAATCTCTCTTCTTCCAATTCTGAGCAAGTTTCTGGAGAAACATGTGGCAAATTTATTGAAAGATCTGATTATGGATAAATCTCTCATTTCTGACTCTCAATGGGGGTTTCTCTCTGGCAGATCCACAACCTTAGCTTTGCTCTCCATCACTGACAGTTGGCATAAATATTTAGAATCAGGTATTGACATCTGCTCAGTCTTCCTTGACCTCCGGAAAGCGTTTGACTCAGTTCCTCATCGCAACCTCCTCCTGGTTCTGAAGCAGCTGGAAGTTCACCCCATCCTACTGAAGTGGATTTGTAGCTACTTGACTAGAGTTGTAGTAAACTGAGAAAAGTCAAATGAGATCCACACTATCTCTGGTGTACCTCAAGGTTCTGTACTTGCCCATTGCTATTCCTCATTTATATAAACAGTGCTACTAGTTTACCGTTCTCGCCTGGGACACACATGACATACGCCAATGACATCTTATTAACCCTCGGCGCGCATGCGCAGCGAGGGTTACGGTAGTTGGGTTTGTGTGTCTGTCTGTCTGTCTGTCTGTTACTCGTCATCTCACTTCTCGAGTGTTCGTTCGTCTCACAAAGGATACCATCTACTGAACGGGCGGGTAATGAAGGTCAGAAATTTCGAACAGTTTTCTCTGAAAACGCTCCGTTGCAAAGCTAGAGCGCGAAAAAGCCAATCGGCTTACTACGGCATGATCGATCCGCGTGCTCTGCGTACCTCGGAGGCACCAGAAGATGCAAGGCAGGGCGTGTATCGCCTCTCGCATGCTATCTAGTAGTGCAGTTAGCCCGCGTCAGACTCTGCGCGAGCTGGCAAGAGACCACGAGTAACAGCTAAAATTAAACCCAGCCCATCAATTAGTGGTACGGCGCATGCGTTTACTGACGCGTGCGCGTCACAGTGCGCCGAGGGTTTGCACTTCAGTGCTTTTCATTATATTATAAAGCAATCAGAAAGAATGAGGATTTTAAAAAAACTGCAGTCAGATCTAGATACCCTCTTTTACTGGGCTGCTACCAATTGTCTAACTTTCAATCCAATGAAGTGCAAGTTCATGGTTGTAACACGGAAGAGGAACTCAGTGAACCCACCAACTCTGACCCTTGGCTCCCATGCCATTTCTCGTGTCTACCAGTATACCTACCTAGGTGTCATTATATCAGCTGATCTCTCCTGGGGTGAGCACATTCATGCCCTGTGTACAAAAGCTAAGAAAACACTGGGTCTCATGTATAGAACCTTTTATGCCAACGCATCTCCATCTACCCTTTTAAAACTGTATGTTTCCCTCATTCGGCCATCTTTGGAGTACGCCTGCCAGGTGTGGAACCCTTATCTTACTAAGGATATTGAGAAACTGGAGAAAGTGCAGAAGTTTGCTCTACGTCTCTGTTTTAAACAATGGGATCTTGATTATCCGTCTCTTCTTTTTATTTCTGACCTCCCAACACTTGCCACACGGCGGAAATACTTTAACCTCTGCACAATGTTCAACATTGTCAACCAGCTGTTACACTTCCCTCAAGATATCTTTATCCTTAGAACCACTCCTTTACACTCGTCAAACCACTTATATTGTCAGCCTTTTTGTCGGACTAACTCGTACCTTAACTCATTTGTACCAAAGACATGCTCAGACTGGAACTCACTCCCTCTTTCTATAAGATCGTCTGACTGCATTTCCTCCTTCAAGTCTTCTTTGAGAGAGTGGTTGATTATGTAATTTCTCGTATACAGTCATGCACCATGTACTAGCCTATTGCTATTTGTGTATGATTCATCGAAATAAAAAAAATAAAAATTCAAAAAAAGTTGATGTAACTGTACAATCTCAAAATCAGCTGAATTCACAAATGGCTCCTTTTAATCTTCAATCGACCTAATTTTTCAGTACAGCATACCAGTATGCTTTGGGGCATCGATATCCTGTAGTAGCTATGCATAATTATTCTTACTTAACGTTTTAATTTTTGTGCAGGTTTGGACATGCGGATGTCGTCAAGTTTTTTATAAATGAAGCGCAGTGTGATCCAAATGTTCAAAGTAATCACGGATGGACTCCTCTTCACTATGCCTGCATGTAGGTTTTCATCGTCTCCTCCTCCTTTAGTCTTGTCCCCAAGCCCCGCCCTCTCTCTTCTTGAGGGTAGGGCCTGTGGACAGTGGTACTTCCTCTTCAATTGAATGCCAATAATGCACAGATTGCGGGACGACCCTCATCATTCATTTTCAATTGTTTGGTCAACTAATACTAATTACCTTTCCCACATAATATGCTTTTGATGGAGGCAAAAGTTAACGTCATTCGAAATCATAAGAAGGTGCCACAATCTTTCCATGGAAGGAGCTGTGGCACTGCAAATACAAACACCATTGGTGTACACACAGTGATGTTACTGAGTTCTGCACCCCGTCCGGCTTCTATTATGTAGACCAATGCCTCGCATATGTAGCTTGTCAACGCTGGTGTGTACGTGCCACACCATTTGTCATATCCATTCCTTGTCAATTCCCAAATGCAGGACCCATGTCTGTTGCTGTCAGTGTTTAAACGTGTTATGAGTCCACATTTTATGGTAACTGTAATCGAAATTCATGTTGCATACACTGTTTTTTCTGCAACCACTCAATCAGGTCAGGTGAAATAGAAGTGGTCCAATACCTTGTGATTGAAACTGACTGCGATCCAACAATTGTTAGCAACGATGGATGGACATGCATTCACTTTGCATGCATGTGAGTTTTAGAACGTGTTAATTTTACTGCAAACAATGCATGGAGAAATGGGATTCTAGCTCCAGAAGAATCGATTATATAAGAATGATTTTGAAATGTTAACTGAACGGCTAGTACAGAACAGATGTGATGACATAAATTCCTATTGCGCCTACTATAAGAATATCTGCAGTGTTTGTGTATCATTAACCTTCGGCGCGTAATCAGAGTGAGAGTTACACTACTTGGTTTGTGTTAATGTCTATCTGCCTCACTGTCTGTTACTACACTATGGGCAGTAAGGCTGTCAAAAGACGATACCAACTGGTTCAGTACTATGTACACTGGCTTGAGTTTAATAGTGGCGATTTGCATAAAACTACTGCGCTCTAAAGTTATGGCGTGAAAACTAAAAGCAATGGCTCACCTTAACTGGACTCTGCTTGTTTTGCATACCATTCCGGGATAAGAAGTTGCAACAATGAGCGAGTATAGAGTCTCGCGATGCCTAATAAGCTACTATTCTGTGGCTGACTCTCAGTGGAGTATGTCTGTAGTATAGCCCATGGGTATGGACTCATGCAAGCGAGTATATAACCACAATCAATTACTTGCGCTAACTTAGGTAGGCTAAGACAGGGGGTGGGATATCCTAGGATCCCCCCTCCAATGACATGCTGTTTCACAGGTGGGGGAAGCTGGATGTGGTTACTGGAGAACACTAACTGTGATTCAAGTGTCAGGATCACGAATGGTTGGACTCCCTTGCACATAGAAATCTGTTGCAGGACAAACATTTTGATATCATTCACCTAAGCCAGGAAGTGGTTGTGTAAACTGTTTATACAGGCAACTCTTACTTATAGCATACTTTTCTTATGGGACATACAGCTAAATTTTGATTTCATGGTTAGTGAAGGACACCATCAGAAAGGGGAAAGTTGCGATGATTCCAATGGTGTTAATGTTTTTACAATTGGATGTAAAATAATATAACAGTTCTGAAAAATTTTAAAGGGCTTAGGTGAAGTAAATTTGAATTTATCCACAGTGGAATTTTACACATTTGTAAGGTATAAGGTTATTGTAGTTACCACAGCGTCCTCCGTCTCCTAGAGGCCTAGTGCTACATGAGTTGCACATAGGACCAAGTCTGAATCCCAGCCTGAGTGTTTTTTCATGTTTACATCTATTAATCATTCATTAGTGCATATGTGTACATCATGGTAAAAGGGTTTAAGTCCTTATGCTGATGCAGATTCAATCGTCATCACTAATATTTTCCTCTAGGCATAAGCAACGTGGCGTAATAGGTTGTCTGGCCAAAGATTCTAATTTCAATCCCAATAATGCAGACAACAATGGAGAAACTCCTCTGCACATTGCCTGCAGGTAAGACTTGTGTTATGTGTACTCCCTTACAGTAAACATGTTGTATCAACTCTAACCCCAAAACTGCATCAAATGTTTAACTGTACAAGAAAGCAGTTCATGGCAGTGCTAACTCACTTACATTACAATATGCATCATTAAAACGAACCCCAGGAAATGATCATGGCTCCAAAACTCACGGCAAACAAGATGCACTTGTGTTTACCCTCATTACTCCTGTACTCAGTATCGTACCTTAACAAATCATGCACGAGAGCTCACAGTACTTTACATTATGCTTTTGGCAGTGAATCTGTCAGTATAACAGCCAAGATATCTCCCTGGTTTTACTCCATTTTTGAATTCTGGCATGACGGCCCAACTACTGCTTTTTTACCCACGTGAGCAGACCTGTTCGCATAATCTTGTTTTCTCGAGGTGTAGGTTTAACTAAATACACACCCCTATAGGGCTCTGTCACATTGGGCTATTAGCTACATCACTGTACAATAATAATAATACTCAGGTGGCTGCCATAGCACTAGAGCCATAGACCACGCACCCAGAGCAATGGGCGGAACCGTTAACAAACGAACATACACCATATGAACATGCGGTGTCTGTCTCACCTCCCAGACACCTCAACTCACCCCTTCCACCAGTGACACCCTGCAGCTCCCCAGACGCAATCTGAGACTGGGTCTGTTGTACGCTGGGATTATCGCCGTATATAACCTAACCTTTCTTAGCTCCCAAACATCCAAAATAAAACCTTTAACAAGGCCAAGGAAAGAACCAAATTTATCCTTCCACAGCTGACTACCCAATATAAAGGATGCTTTCCTGAAACTATCAAGCGACTGGAAATGCTCAAACCCATCATCCCCAAGCTTCTCCTGCAAGGGAACTAAGAAATTGCTCCTAAGACTACTATATGCTGGACACTCCCACAACACATGACTCACACTTTCACACTCATCATCACACAACAGGCACTCCTTCATCCCCTCCCTCCCCCTATGCCTACCGAGTTCCTCATTTAGCCCATGTGTGCCTGACCTGAACTTAAACATTAATCTAGACCCAGCATCACTTTTCCCATGCAAGTACTTTTTGAACTCTACCACCTTGTTAAATGTCTTATACAATAACAGCTTTACTTTGCTATTTAGCCCCTCTTCAAACCTTCTAATCTCCCTCTCATTAATGCTGTCCCCTACTAATTTTTTTATAATCTAGGCATGGTGAAATTGATACAGTTGAAATGCTTCTAACTCAGTGCAATGCTGACCCCAATTGCACCTCTATCGATGGATCAACACCTCTGTCCCTAACAGAGAGCACACTGATTATCAAACTTCTTCTGAAGCATGGTGCAAAGCCTCCTAGAAAACCAATCAGTAACGAAAAGATGGTTAATCCACTATCAACCTGTTCATGGTCGGAGACCAGGGTGCAGGTAAAAGTACACTTACAAAGGCCCTAACAACAGAAAAGGGGAGCATAAATCGCTGGATAGGACGGCTGAGCAAAGTGAGTGGCGTGAAGGAAAAAACGGCAGGTATTGAATGTCATACGGTTCACAATTCACGAATAGGCCACCTTACAATCCACGATTTGGCAGGGCACAGGGAGTTTCATAGTTCACACGATACAGTCATAAGGAATTGCGTATCAGGTCCATCATCGGGGATATTTCTACTTGTGGCAGACCTGCAAGCCTCTCCTGGTGATCTGAAGCGAGCGGTTTCATATTGGCTTTCTTTCATTCAGAGTCAGGTCAGTATTGGCTCACCTACCAAATCATCAAGGCCGTACCTACTCTCTGTGGGCAGTCATTCTGACTTGGTCAAGTCCAAAACGGAGCTGAAAGAGAAGCAAGAGATCATTTGTAGCTTCTACAAAAATGCTGAAAATGTTGAATTTGTAGACTACGTTACAGCTGACTGTCGCTACAGTGAGTCCCCGTCACTCACCCAATTACGGTTTCACATTCTGAACACACACGACAAACTCCAGGAGACGATACCTGAGATGACCTTTCAAGCAACCTACTTCCACATTTTCCTTGTTTCTGAGTATGGCAGTGAGCCAGGCATGCAATTAGGAAAGCTCCTGGATAACATGGATGATGCATCCCGCATCAAGTACTAGTTTGAATGTGCTGCAATGCCCTTACACATAATAACACAGAAATTGTAAGAGTAGAGTAATAGCTCAATATTGCCAATACGTCTCCAAGTAGAGTAGAAATGAGTCAACAGTTAATGAAAAGCACTTGAAAGTGCATAACCCTCGCCACTGTTGGTTAGCTATGGAGGTTCAGTTGGCTGTCTCAGAGAAGATCAGAGACAGCTCTTCCTTTAATAATTTTCAGCTGTATTCTTTCTTTGAATACTTGTTAAACCAACAGGCAGACCAGAAAATCTTCACCACATGCGCAAAGCATCTAGCATCTAAGTACAGCGATCATCCGCAATCTCTATTTGACGCAAACTCTCGGCAGCCGTCTATTTCGCCAGCTTCCCCGGCCTTCTCCGCTCCAGAATCTTAGTTTACCATGCATGCCTCCTACTTGATATTATGTCCACGTTTCACGCTCAGAGTTGGCACGGTTACCACGAAAAATGGTGGACAGACGGACACACGGACACACACACAGCAATAACCCTCGCTGTGCATGCGCACTGGCGAGGGTTAACGATGCATACACTTTGGACCACTAGGCAGCCATACACTGTGAGGTTGGCACACAGCTCCTACACTCTAGGACTATCTTCCTTTTCTTCCCCCAATACCCAACACACACATACACACACAGACCAGATCATTTCTTCTTCGGAAAGTGGTCTGGATGCCAGAATCCACCCAAAATGCTTTCAGTGGCATCACATACTGCTGGAATTCCTCAGGTAAAGGAGGACGACCAGGGCCATTGCAGTAGTTGGGAAGCATAGCGCTGAATGAATCGTTTGATGGGTTCTCAAAAGGGATTTGTAGTCTTCGTCTTGCCTCAGCTAGGATTTTAGCACTTTTCAGTACGTTATGGAAAATAATTTCACGAAATTCGAGCCTTTCCTCTTCCGAGAATCCTTCTCCGTAAATAATTTTCATTTGTTCGACGAAGGTTGTCTTACCGGACTCCATTGTACCAAGAACAAGAACTTTCGCTGCCATTTTGATGCAGCTCAGGTTATTCGTGCGTTCTGCGCACGCGCGGACGAGGCCGCGCCCACCGGCTTCTCAACGCAGTGGGCGTGTATCGGAGGGTATCATGGCTGAAGGAAGGTCCCTGGAGATGTCGAGCCCAACGACAGGTACGTATTCCGTTCTAGCCGAACTAAATCCTCAACTTCTATACCTAGTTACGTTGAAAGGCGCCTACCCACTTTAGCTACCAGACCCAGAAAGAACGGTGCCCCAGCAGCGTTACTGACAGCTAGCTATATACATCCTGGATATTTTGCAGAATAACTGCTTAAAATTTTTTGATTGTTATAGCTACTCTCATGACTTTTAATTCGTCGTACATTGCTTGATATTAGCAGTGGGATAATTATAATAAATTAGTGAAAGCCACGCCCACAACGAGATTATGAAAGTATCTACTAGACTAATGTCGTTTATTTGTATGTTGGGAGGTTTAGTTATGAACTACTATTGGTTAGCATTCTTGTAGTGGCCTTGTCCCAGGGTAAGGGGAGATTCTAAGTAGTACTTTGTCTGGCAAACTGCACTGTTAAAAGACAAACCACAAAACCAGCCATGGACACAAATGTGTCCAGAGCATCTGCAAGTCTCAAAGGATTTATGATACTGGCGCTAATACTGAATTTCTGCTTATTTTAGTAATGGGGGGTGGTTTTAATTCAGACTGTCATGCATTTCACGCGTAAGCTGGCCCACAATAGTAGGATAACATTATAATGACAGAAAGACTGTGGATAATTTGTAAGAGATGAGAAAGGTTTGAAATGATATCTGATGTATAGAAAAACAGCACTCACATAATCATGGAGATTTAGAATGTGGTCCAAATATGGACAGAAATTGTATTGAGTTGTGATACAGTAAATTCTTTTGATAGTAACCTGAGTATATAATTTTTTAGTGTGTGTGTAGCTTGTGTATGTATTATCTGCAGAAGAGGGATATTCTCCGCATTACCAAGCTGTACTGCAACACAAGGATGACTTGGCCAGAAGTCTAGCCAGTGGACCGGATCTGCATCTTTTGAATCAATTCAAAATCAGAGGATGGCTTGGTGGTGAAGTAGACGCTACTCCTACTCGGATGATTGACGAGGCTCTGCACAGAATACAGTCCGACCCCTCTGATTATGAAGTTTTCATTGGAATGCTACCAGATGACATACGAGTAAAACCCACTGTGGATCAAATAACAGGTATGCTATGCGCATCTCTCAAGTATTCTGCCTAGTCAGTCTGGTAGTTTTTATTAGGGTATTCTTTACGCAAAAAAATTAAACCCTTTAGACGCCATGGGTTTCTTGCTTGAATAGGCTATAAAGTATTAGCCCATCACTAAGTACGGTAGTGATAAGAGTTCATTGAAACAGAAATTACAAGTTTGTAAACAACAACAAACAGCCTCAGGCAATAAAAACTTGTAAACTTTATTACTTGCTTATGGTGGGACCTCTAACAATGAAAATTGGTACACTGCATGCTCCATGATAAGAGTTCATCAAAACAGGGAATTACAAGTTAGTAAACAACAACAAACAGCCTCAGGCAATGAATACTTGTAAATGATGTTTGTGCCTATAACTTGCTTATGGTGGGTCCTCTAACAATGAAACTTGGTACACTGATTTACTATGATAAGAGTTCATTGGAACATGAATTACAAGTTTGTAAACAACAACAAACAGCCTCAGGCAATTAAGTGCTGTTTTTCCTATAACTTTGTACACTTATATACTTTGAAAGCGAAATAAAAATGTAGATGATGACTAACAGTCCGAGGCAATATACATGTTACTTTTTATATGGACATTATGCCCCAATGCATGTGCATGCCGTAAAAAAAGGAAAGGAGACAAGTAAATAAAAAAAATTCTGCGATTTAAAAAAGTGTGGAATATAGGGATGCCATAAAAAGCAAGGAGACAAGACAGGGATGACCAGGGCATGTGATGCAGAGTACAATGGGATGATTGTTACATCTTCAAACTGACATTTCTTGCTCATGTAAATTTTACTCCACACAAGCCCTATATTGTCGCAAGAGTGATCTCTACGGTATGATGTGCAGCTATGACTCGTTTCCTATGCATGTAAGACTGGTAGAAAATGCCCTCTCTGACAGGTCCTCAAATTGAATCGTGACAGTGTTTACTTCAATGTTTGCTCAACTAACCGGTTTGAGAATGCTGCTTTCCCTACAGAATTCGTTTGCCAGTCTTCACACTACATTATTCAAAACTCATGTCATGAGTAAGAGTGGCGACAATATAGGGCTTGTGTGGAGTAAAATTTACATGAGCAAGAAATGTCAGTTTGAATTTTTTTTTTTATTCGCATAATTTTTTATTTACTTGTATAAATTACTAGGAATGCGCACGCGCATATTTTGCCTCGCACCTGCCAGCCAATGCGTAAACACTCCGACTGAGGCCGCTCGTGCGCGCGCTCTATTGACTGCGCGCGAAGCCAGACTTCCTACGAATCTGCGCACACGGCGGAAGCTAGACTTCCTACGAATGACGGAAGTTGACATTCCTAAGCATGACTAATTGACATTCTTAAGCGTGACGATACGTACGTATGTACGTACGCATATCGCGAGAATACAACCCGGAGTAGTTGCCTCACGCTAACGCGCTCGGCAATTATGGACGTATTGAGGCTCTGGACACTATGTGTATGCGGCTAGTTAAGTGTTAAACTGCCATGCACTAGAATACTGCCTGGTACATAAGCATCTACATTATTATCTGCAACAGATTGTTGTCGTGTTTATTTATGTAACTATCCTGCATATCAGGGGGCACAGGAAGTAGTTACTCCCACGTAATCAACCCTAGTTCAGGGGAAGGAAAACCATTTTCAAGGGGAGGTGGGGACTCTCCCCACACATCTCCCTCAGTACAGATAATTATATTGAGTAAGAGACTGCAATAGGGCTGGTGTGCATGGTCAACACTATGGTATTTGTGTGTTAATGAATAATGTTCTCATTACTATAGGAATGTGTCCTCTTTCTACTCCAACAGGTATAGTTACATGTACATTTTAAACGTGTGTCTTATTAATTACGGGGTACTTATAGTATTATTGGGATGGGCTAGCGCTCCCTTGTTTGTAAAAGTTTTATTTACAAGAGGGGGATTAACTGCCCTACGGGATTTATACCACAGATGCGAAAACAGCAGGTCAATGGGGTTTTACAATGCCAAACACGTTGATAACAGACTTAGTGATTGTTTTTTCTTTCAGCATCAACCACTAAACTTCATGGTATCCGTACACCAGACTTGATTAGTACGCTCTTCAATCTTGGTAAGTTATTTTGTGCATGCTTCATTATTATACACTCACTGCTGACTATAATGCCGTTTCATTAAACCTCGCGCACATGCACAGCGAGGGTTCAGTACTGTCTGTCTGGGTGTGTGTGTCGACGCTATTTCCAGCACTTCAGGCTACGAGGCGGCCGATTAGTGATGCCAGCGGCTTCAGAACTATGCGAGCGTGAATAATAAAAGGCGGTTTTCCTGAAACGACTGCGTTCGAGAGATATGCTGTGAACACAACCGAAAAAGCCAATTGCATATTTACCGCGACCTGATCCTCTCGCTCTGTGTATAAACCTGGGAGGCTCAAGAAGTCACAACTTAGGGCGTGTATCGCGTCACGCATGCTATGTACTAGCGTAGCTAGCCTGTGTCAGACTCTCCCGAGCTACTAAGCGTAGGGAGACCAGCATACGTTTGGTTACCGCGCATGCTCAGTGCGCCGAGGGTATGCATTAAGAGAGTGCTTTTTTAAGGCCCCAGACTGACACGAAAGGTGCACAACCACCTGTGTGTACGCCTTCCACTCAGCCTTAGCCCCAGGTAGAGGAAAGAGCAATTCAATTAGTAGGCCTATGGCGGCACTAAAATATTGCCCTTAGGGGATCGAAGTGAACAAATTCTCGTGGAAACAATCTGGGCTGAAAGAGCTCCTGCTATACTCTCCATAAGTTGATTTTTGCCGAGGGCTGGCTCTGGCTTGCTTAAAGAAAGTGATAATCTTGGGCAGGCAAGGACTATTCTCTGACTATCTTGAGAGTGCCGCACAAGACTGTGTATACTTACCTTGAACAGTGGAGTAAAAAGCGTTCAGTCCCTGGCCTATACACAAGTTTAGTATTAAAAGTTGACTTTTTTGCACATGCGCAACCGTGGTGACAAAACTTGGTGTGAAATATTTGTGTCTGAATTTTGTGTGTCAGTCATTCTGTCCGTCTGTCCTTCTGTTTCTGTCACCACTCACAACAAGCTTGTCAAAAAGTGATTGGAAGCACTATTATACACTAGCTTGATATATACTGTACAATGGTAATTTGCAAAATAAAGTGTGTTAACTATGACATCAACAAGCTTACCAGTAAAAAAGGATTGTGTGTGTATAGGGATGGTGTAAAAGGAAGTGGAGACACGATAAGGATGAAATGTAGAATAGTTGGAAGCTTCGCGGTTTTTACTTCTTCAGACACTAGCGTCGTTTCGGTGGTGTTGGCATGTTCGCAGTACGTTCAAAAATTATGCTTCATAGTATGTGTTCCCATTCCAAATTGTCTCTATACCATCCCTGTATACCTCCTTTATAATAACCCTCGGCGCGCATGCGCAGCGAGGGTTACAGTAGTTGGGTTTGTCTGTCTGTTTGTTTGTCTGTTTGTCTGTTAGTCTACATCTCACCTCTCGAATGTCTGTTCGTCCCAGAAACGATACCATCTACCCAACAGGCGACGAAGGTCAGAAAATAAAGGCGGTTTTCTCTGAGAATGCTCCGTTGCAGAGCTAGAGCGCTTCCACCATTGTACGGCTAATGCGTAGTCGGCCATTTTTATCGCTGCGGAAAATGCGCATGCGCTTATATCCTCGACCGGGTCCGCTTGCTCTGTGTATCTTGAAGGCACAAGAAGTCACAACGAAGGGCGTGTATCGACTCCCGCTTACTATCTACTACTGTAGCTAGCCCGTGTCAGACTCTCTGCGAGCTACTAGCGGGAGACCACGAGTAAACGCATACTAATAGCAGCCCAGCCCATCAATTAGCGGTACCGCGCATCCCCAGTTCGCCGAGGGTTTGCACTTTAGTGCTTTTCATTTTTTATGTACTTGTCTACTCCATTTTTCATAATAGTGTATGCCTTGTAACAATCCATACATTAATAGCCTATAGAAAAATCACTCTTTTTGTCCGTAAATACCCTGGAAAATTGACCAAGTTCCAAGGTATCTGTATGAAATGCTTCACACAAGTTACAGCTCTCAGAAAAGTGTTGCGAAGGATCTTGTGAGCATCTAGGTTGTTTTGTACCTCTCACCTATGTGCTGACCTGTGTAACACATGGTGACTGCTCTGTATGATGGTAGTTTTCAGATCAGCATTCGGCTTTGCCTCATGTTGTTTGCAAAATACGATCGCTATTTATCCTTAATACTACACTAAACCTCACTATCACCTATTGTACTCCGGGTTGTATTCTCGCGATATGCGTACGTACGTACGTATGTGTTCGGTCACGCTTAAGAATGTCAATTAGTCACGCTTAGGGAATGTCAATTAGTCACGCTTAGGTATGTCAATTTCCGCCGTGCGCGCACATTCGTAGGAAGTCTGGCTTCGCGCAGTCATGTCAGTAGAGCACGCGCACGAGCGGCCTCAGTCGGACTGTTTTATGCATTGGCTGGCAGGCGCGAGGCAAGATATGCGCGTGCGTATTCCTAGTACTACGTTATCTCTTTGAAAGGGCAATCCCCTACAAAAAGTAACTGTCATGAGGTTAATTCAATACTCGTACAATTTACAAAGTTTAATCACCATAACTACTTTGACGAGTAAAGAATTTGAAGTACAGTTGGTAGTAAAAATAAGTGTAACAAGTGTCGTGCAGTTATTAAATTAATATGGACATTTAACACAATTATGGCTTTATCTATTTCATTTTTGGTTGTAGGTCTCAAATCTGAAGGAGGCGGGGAGGACGAAGATTTCCTATCGTTACTCCTTAAATGTACGTATGTAGGTAACTATGACCTTCCCCAAGTACTACTATACCTAGTGTTAATAATTGGCTAACACTGGTTACCTCCACTCGATATCACCTGGGTTCTGCACTGTGGAGGCATTTTACAACAAAAGGAGGCTAGTATATTGCGTCTCGTCTTGTATCTAGCCCGTGTTGAAATAGGACAGTGTAGCATAGCCAATCAATTATTATGTGACATAATCTACACTGATCTGCAGATGCATATGGCTGCTTTGCTGAGAGTGTCCATCTGTGCTTTCATTGTACATTTGGTGAAACTTAGGTGTTTGGGGGATGGTCTCTCCTTTTTATCTATGGGTTATATGAAGGCGAAACCCTTGACTAAGGTTGATAGGCTCACCAATGAATTGTCCAGCTACTATCAGCTTTAGAATGCATCAAAACTGTGCATTGAGAGAAACTAACCCCTCGCGCACATGGTTATGTGATAGGTCTTTATGTCTGTCGTCGTCCGCACTAACTTTGCGAGATCTGGAGTTATAGGTGCCTGAGTGAGTTTGACAGGCGCCTCAACTATGATAAACAGCAGTAAGCAGGACGCTGGCCACAATGGGTAGAAACGGGTCGTTTGGCAACACTCATCAATCAACGTGCTAACACACCTGCTTTCTGTGCATGCTTTCCAAATATACCGCACTGGGTATGTGTTCCCCAGAGCTCTGTTATGGCAAGCTTAAGTAAATGTGCAAGTTGGCTGTGTGTCTGTTGCAACATTGCCTAATTGTTTCACTGTGAGCAAGAAAAACTTAACTATCCAATAGATGAACTTGAAGATATTCTACCTCTTCCTAAAACAACTGGGTCATATCTGAGAGAGCATGGAGAAGAACTACATGTACTAGAAGAAGAAGAAAAGGCTTTGCAGAGAGCAATTCTACAAGCAGCTACAGCTAGTGGTCTAGACTTTAGTGGCATACTCAGTCAGGCCATAGATTTGCTGACTAAAGTACAGCGAAACTTGAAACAAGCAAATCCTAAACGATCAGCAAATGGGGTGAATTTTACTGATGGAAGAAAAAAGACCAAGCAGGTACGTACAATATCATATCTAACAAGGGGATGTCACCATTTGTTTGTTTTTTCCTTAGTTTTACTCCCCACTGATGCATGCATGTGAGGAAGGGCATGAAGATAGGGTGAAACTTCTGCTCGACAAAGGAGCAAAAGTTGATTTCATTGCAGGACAACTCAAACCAAAGCCAAAAGGCAAATCTGTAAGATGTTAATGTTGGTAAATTTTAATGTACTAATATTTTATTTGTATGACTTAAGAAAATAATAGGGTCAAGGATGAATGCCGTACACGTGGCTTGTGTACAAGGAAGAACCGAAGTTGTACAACTTCTTATTTCAAGTTCAACAAACGCCGCAAGGGATGTCCTCAACGCAAAAACTAAAGTCAGCGGCTATTTTTCTGCACGATATGAATAAAGTCTTTTCCCCCCAACAGGATAAATGGACACCTCTGATGTACTCTGTGAAGGAAGGCCACACTGAGGTTGTTAGTTTACTACTGGAACAAGACACAGTGGACATATTAGCAACTAATCAAGTAGGTTAATAGGTGCATCATTTCTCAGATATTAAAAAGTGTGTTTTTTGTAGAAAGGCCAGACAGCCCTTCATCTGGCTGGCCTGCATGGTAGACTGGAGTGTTTTAAATTGATCCATGCCAAGCTGGCAGCACAGAATGGAGAGAAACTCAAGAGAGCTGATATTGAGAACCCTTATCTTTCAACTGACAAAGTGGGTTTTGTATGTAGTTTGTTTTCTTAATTTATGGTCACTCCCAAAACAAACAGAAAGGCTACAATGTTCTTCATCGTGTGTGTAAAGGACCAAAGGGTGAAAATGATGAAAATGTGACTGTTGAGTGTCTGAGGTGGATTTGTGAAAGTCTGCCCCAACTTGACAAGCCCGAAGTTCTTAATATGAAAACAGTAAGAGCACACAATAATTATCTGCATAATGCATATTTCTGTATGTTCTCCCGTGTAGCAAGAAGGATACTCATGCTTGCTACTTGCCTGTGACTGTAATAACAGGAATCTGGTTGAATACCTTTTGAGGGTAAAGAGAGTGGATGTGAATTCAACTACAGAAGATGGAAAGACTGGGCTCCACATAGCAGCACTACACGACTATCCTGAAATAGCAGATTTGCTTATGGATGCTGGGATCTCTGTTGCTACCCAAGACAATGAGTATAAGAGAGGAGACTCGGATGAGATTGCTGGGGTAAGGATGTTGGTTGTGAATATTGGTTGACTTTGATGCCCTCAATCAATGCTGTAGATGGACACTGCATTGCATATAGCTGTGCGTAAGTCTAGTGCAAGTGTTGAAGGGAGGATCAGGTCACGCAGTGACTTACAACCTGACGTTCTCATCGTTCAGAACAAGGTTTTTACTTAAACTCTTTTTTTGTGTTCTCTGAAAGGTTTGTTTTGCTTTAGATGGGGCAGACACCAGATGAAGTCAAACCAGAAGAGAGTAGGCAACCATTACACACACACATACACACACATAGGTAAACGACAGACAAAACAAGACAGAGCAGACAGGATTCTCTCTTGTTGTTGGGTGTCTGTATCTAGTAGTATGTGGAGGCACACTGCAGTTTGTGACTCCGTACTGAGCCTGAGTACATGTCCGGTGGTCCGGTACTTTGATGAGGCCTGACAACTCCCCTCAGTCTCTGTCACTACATCTCATTCTCCTACACTCTTTCCCTCTTTTCACCAAAACACACAAACAAACACACAGATATATATATTCACTGTTATTAACAGCATGGGAAGTTTTGACTTTAGTAGATGTAACATCCCTAACAAGAAAACAAGGTAAAACAGCCAAGCTTGCCTATAGTAGCTCAGTTGGGAGGCTAGTTTGCAAGTACAATAATTGTACCCATGTGGTAAAAAATCTGGACTCCAACCAGGTGGAGTGGCCTCGCCCTTTCTGAAGTCTCACGTGTCAGGAGTTTAAAGAGGCTGAAACACGTGTGACATGGTAAAGGATTGGGTACTCCCCTAATATAGAGCCTAGCCTGCATGTTGCTGGACTTGCGTTTAGGTTTGCGTGTAGATTTAAGCACCTGGTTGACTGATGCCGATGACAAATGCCGATGACAAAAGCCGCCCACTCTCTTGAGCTTTAGTCCTGCCTACACTTTACCTCTCTCTTTTTATTATTACCCAATCACAAACACACGCGCATGCACCACATTTATCATATTATTTTCTGTGTGTGCAGTCATACCTCAAGAAATACGGAGATTGGGAGAGGCTGCAGTCAACCGCTACCATCAGTTGCTCCGTCGAGGCAAGAAAAAGAAAATGCCCCGCTGCAACCTGATAGCACTGGGCGAACAGAGAGTGGGGAAAACTAGTCTGCTTTGTCTGCTGACGGGGGAAAAGTTCGTTAGGGATCGAGATCCTACGCGAGGCATCCACAATGAGAAGGTCGACGTGCTAACATCAGGGAATGTTTCATCTAAGACCTGGAAGGAGGTGAAGTCCGAGGACATTGCCAAGCAAAATGAAAAGCAATTTGCCTCTTCAGTTGCCGAAGACTTAAGGCCTGACTTTGCTAAAAATCCAACTGGTGGAGCCCATCCACCACACCCTGATGAACTCAGGGGTCTCATAGCAGCCATTGAGACACACCTTCAGGAGATGGAGAGGGCAGCTGAAGCATACTCAAAAGAACCTTTGACACTCGTTCCCAGACCCAAAAGAGCTGCAGAGCCCCAAATAGAATCTAGTGACAGCTTTGCAAAAGCTCCAAAACGTCGCAAACCTGCAGCCCCTTTCACAGACATTGATGTTAGAAATGAAAACACTTCCACCAAGGATGGGAAAGCTATTGCTACGGAGAAGAGGCCATCACCTTCGAAACCAAAACTAGCCACGCCAGTTGAAAAAGGAAGTCAGCCTCAACCTCCACCAGAGACATCTGAACCTGTCCATGGTAGCCCTACCAACCGTGCCTCGGGCTTGCAAAGAGCACCCAACATTGGGCGTAACCTGACCAAAACTATAGTCTCCGGGGCAAAAAGGGGTTCAACAACAACAGAGCCAGTGCTTCAGTACAACACACTAGACTTTGCTGGCCAGACAGAGTACAGGGCAATGCATCACTGCTTCATTGTACGTCGAGCCATCTACTTAGTTGTATTCAACCTCCTGATTCTCAGGGACGCTCTTAAAGCAACCACTGAAGTAACCCAGAGAGCACTGGAGGAGATTCGCTACTGGATGAACTCCATCCATGCCCATATCCACAAGATGGGACCCGAGGCACTGAGGAGGGTAATGCTAGTAGGCACTCATCGCTGCCCTAAAGAAGGAAGCACAGAGCATCCACAGGAACCAGTAACCGATGAAGAGTTGCGTGAAATCGACAGAACGCTGGTGGAAATGTTCACAGACACTCCAGTGTTAAATGACATCTTCAGAACTGGTGAAACCTGGGTTGCTACGGTCGAGAACTCGCTTGACGGAAATCTAGACAGGGAGAACAGTGGTGCAGTCGCACTTCAGAAAGCCATTGCTGATGCCTGGAAGGAGCTTCCATTCAAAGATGAAGCATATCCCACTACGTGGCTACGATTTGAAGCCTACCTCCAGAGGAGACGGCTAGTGGGTACACAGATTGTGAATGCTACCATCATCAAAAAGGTAGCAAAGGAACAATTTGGAATTGGAGAAGAAAACGAGGAGGATATTGAAATGGCACTGGGCTTTTTTCATGACACAGGCACAATCGTTTACCCACGTAAGTATCAGTGTTTTCTTGGCCCTGAGTGCCACGTGGGATATGTTGGCACAGTTGTTACATATTATCCGAGTGCAGCAGGCCTGATGGTTCAACTTTGCCAACATACCCAATGTGGTCACGAGAAAAAGCCCAGGCTTGTTACGTTTACATGTGCATACTCTCAGATTACCTGTGAATGAGGTGTGCTATATTATATTGCCACATAGTAGGCAGCACGTTACGTTTACTCTCCACAATCATACACCAGTAGTGTGAATGTAGCTAGAATAGCAGTAACCCTCATCACTTCGTGCAATATGGAGAATGCATGATCTCCGTTGAATGTGCTGAGTACTTTTAGAGAAAATTGCTAATGCCTTCCCTATAGCAAAGCTGCCAACCTTGTACCTGAAAGAAGAAGAAAAGATGGTTCTGGATGGGTTGATCCTACTCGACCCACACTGGCTCACTAAAATGATGAGAAAGGTGATGGAGCTGAAGGCAGGGAGGGGTCCAGAAATGACCAACAATAAACAAATATTCCTGGAAAACACTGGGTGTGCTGAACTGAGTCTTCTGAAACGGTGCTGGTCTGATCTCGGAGAAGAAGACTTTCACAGGCTAATGTTAATGCTCCAGTCGTTTTGCCTCGTATTCCCCCTCCCAAAACGAGCAGAAAAAGATGATACACAAACCCCTTGTGCACAAGTGAAGCCAGATCAACAGGAGGAACCTGAAAAACCACCCTCCTTACCACCACTCAACCAAATGTACCTGATTCCATCAAAGCTCCAGTCCGAAACATTCAACCAAGACCTAACCAAAAATTTTAACCTCTCCTTTCAGTTTGACTTTGGGGGTTTTCTTCCCGAGGAAGTCTACCACCGTCTTCTCTGTCTCATGCTCAAGAAGTTGCCCAAGATGAGTGGCAAACACAAAGATATATTTACTGCTAATTTTTTCAAGATTTATGGGGTCGAGAACTGCAACTGGGTTGTTCAGATGGTTAGCTCAAAGCTATGTGTGTGGGTAAAACATGAAGAGAGGTATATAAGCATAGCTTTATTGTTTCCCTGCATCATGTCTTTTTTATTCCCTCTAGTTCTATTCCGCCATCCTCCTACGTCAACCTTGTCCACATGGACTACCTGCAAAAGATATGCAATGAAAACGGAAGCAGTCTGCAGGGTCTGAAGTATATTGGAGGGCCGGTTCACATGTGTGACAACCAGCCAGAGGTTGTACCCTGTGTATCATTTCCAGATGACAAGGAAGTGGCACATAGTTGGAAATGCACAGGATGTCTAAAGCTATTTGACATCGAAGAACTTTTGAACCCCAAGGTTTGCATCGAAAATATTTTGAAACCCATTGGTTACTTTTGCCATTATTATACACTACAGTATGTGCCAAAAGAGAAAGTGCCTTCTACCTCTACTGTGTGTGAGACTGTATCAGAAGGTGCCGTTAATTGATGCCTTAATGTTTAAAATATAGAGTCATTCTACAGGTACTACTTTGGTAAGGCCTCCTGAGAATGCTACCTTTAGTATAACAGCTAGTAATGTGATTCTTCCCCAACCACACTCCACACTCAACCTCCACATTGGTTAGTACATACTCTCCAGTTGTCACAGTAATCCACTTTAGACTCACACTGCAGAACCAAATATTCCACAGCTCCCTGAGGGCGTTGTGTCATCTCAGCAAGCTGGAAGTGTACTACCTGATGTCACTGGGAAGTGTAAGTAGACATATATAAAATTCATAGAATATTAGTAAAAGAATGTGTTTGGCGAGCAAAGCGAGCCGTTGCATTTTTGTGTGTAGCTATCACGCGCATTAAAGAATGATGTGTAACATAAAGACTGTGAGGGTGAGGGTGGCCCACATACCTATAGGCTCTTCTGCAGAGGATGATATCCACTTTAAATAATCCATTCCACCTTATCTAACATTATAACCTTTCCTATTGTATTTGTGGCTGAGCCTGTGTGTTTCTCCTGTAGGTCAATTGCCAGAGCCCAGGGGCAAAGTTACCGCCAGTCAGCCACCCACAGCCACTTCAGATGGTGAGAGAGCCACATACACATTAACTCTAGGCACACTGCATTTAAAAATTTCGCAACCCAAAATAATAATTCACACCACAGAGCCACAACTCCCTGTGCAATGCCAGCAAGCTGAAAGTGTGACTGAGAATCGTAAGTGAAATAACATGTGTAAGTAGACAGATAATAGAATAAAATTGCCAATATTCCATCTGGACCGGCATATGGAGTCTGTATTTCCCAATTAGTACGTATAGGTAGAATATGTAGTGATTACTCGGATTTTACTTTCAAACTAACGGAGTGACTGATTCATCAAGGATACAGATATTCTGATTTGTGCAGGTCCTTTTATAAGTTTGCTAAAAGGCATGCACAAATTATGAATAATGAATAAATATAGCTACAGCATACGCAAACATGTGGAGGATGGTATATGTCTAACAGCAATGGATAGGTTCCTCAGTCGCCATGTCTCGCATAGATAGAGTGTATATTTTTAGTGACAAATTTATTTTGGAAAATATATTTTTAACATTTCTATTTTTCTTACACGTGTATATGCTGTGAGTTATTTAGAGTAATCGCACGTTTTTTTCTATGTATCGCAGTTGCATTGTCATACTGCGTAAGTTTCAGAGTTTTTATATTTTTCTATGAGTTTACTAATAGTCCTTTGAGGCTCTCTATTTTTCTACTGGCTATTGTTTTTACATGTAGCCGTCGTTTTTGTTCATGATTTCTATCTATTTCTTCTCTAACTATATGTAAGGGAGGTTGGGACACTGGGCGTATAGGGCCCGTAAAAGACTTTAACCTACCGCCCCGGTTCTCAAGGCTGGGCACCAAGGGTCCTGCCTCTCTCTTTCTGTTTATATGTTATTGTCTGTGTTTTGTGTGCTTGGGTGGGGGTTTAAGGATTCTTTCTTTTCCTCTCTTATTATTCTTTTAGCCAGTATGCTATAAACTTCATGTTATGAACTTTGAGTTGTGAATGAAAGAAGTGCGGTACTTACCAATGGCTAATAACCTATGAGTAAAAGTTTCATTGAGGGTGAGGGTGGCCCACGTATCTTTGCTCTGGAGGGTAAGAGCCTGCTGGTATCCACTGTTTAGGGTATTTACTTAATCCACTCGACCTACTCTAACTGACGCAATGACCATGCTCCTACATTTGTAGCTGAGACTGTGTGTTTTCTTCTATAGGTCATTTGCCAGAGCCTAGAGGCGAAGTTACCACCAGTCAGCCACCCACAGCCACTTCAGATGGTGAGAGAACCACATACACATTAACTCTAGGCACACTGCAGTTAAAGGTCTCACATCCCAGTCGAAGCTTGTCCTTTTCGCAAAACAATTCAGTTGGGTTAAGGGAGGGGGGTGGGGATATACTTGGATACAACAAAGTTTTCCTGAGCCGTATAAGTATACTTACACATAGCTCACTTTGTGGCCAGTGGCATATCCTGGCAGTATAGTATTGCAGTGACCCTCACTTTTTTGGCCATCACATATCCCACCCCTTGCATTTCCGACCATAGCCTCACAGAGCTTATGCTCAGAGATCTAGACAGTGTGGCTCTATGAATTAACAGTGGCGCTTTTCCATAGCTAAAATGCAATAGCTTACCTGACTTTCCAAGCACTGCGTGGGACGAAGTTTCTCGAAAGACGAATACCCAGAAGCATTGCTCTAAACATTGTACTAGCCCATTTTAGCGAAACAATTTCCATCGGTGACTATATATGTGGCATCTGCTGCATTTTTGGCATACGTATAGTAGCTAGTTGGTAGTGTACGTTGCAGCACAGTGTGCCTATACTAGGGTGCGAGCACTCCCTAGCTACACCAAGTGTTAGTTCTTGCAAACACTTTTCTGTACAAACACCTTTCCCTTATCCGAACACATAAAACTTGCGAGGTGAGTGAGGGGTTAAAAGTTGATAAAACATCTTTTTCTTATAGGGCCCACCCTTCCCACCCTGCTTCGCTTAAAAGTCCATCAGCGTATTGGTGATCGTTATCAATTGTTTGGAGTTTTACTTCTTAATGACAAGGATGGCACCCAAGTTGCTAGCCTGGCCCACCAACACAAGGGAAAATGTGAAGATATTGTAATGGGAATCTTACGAGAGTGGATACAGGGAAAAGGAGTGCCCTCGACATGGCCGGCACTTATTCAGACACTCAAAGAATCAGACCTAAATGAGCTAGCAAAGGAGGTAGCAACAAAGTACTCAGTAAATTGATTGTGTGCTAAATAAAAAATTTAGTATAATTATATAGGACCGATAGGGCAATACTATTACTGTACAATGTTCATTCTATTAGCCAGTGTGTTTGTTACTGTACTATGAATGTTCATTCAATAAGCTACAAGTTTGTTATTGCTGAGGAAAACACAAGTATATGAGTGTAGGACAATTTTGCCGAGTGGAAGCGACCCAGCTGCTGGCATTAGAATTCCTTGCGCATGTCTACGGAAGTCCATAAGGGCCATCCATTGCAATTGTAGATTATGGAAATTTGGAATGGAAATTGAGCTAGCAGACGAGGTAGCAGCAAAGTACTCAGTAAATTGATTGTTATAGGATGTACATAATGTTCATTCAGTAATCTTCAAGTTTGTAAGTGCTGAGGAAAACAATTTTCAGTATATGCAGTTTTGCTTAGCTGGAGCTACCCAGCTGCGAGCATTATAATTCCTTGCGCATGTCGGCGGTGACCACATTTTTAACCCTCAGCCCGCATGCGCAGCGAGGGTTACAGTGCTTGGTCTGTCTGTCCGTCTGTTACCACGTTTTCTGCCACGCAACAAACAGGTAAAAAAGCGACACCAACAGGTTCTGCGCTACACTGGCTTTATTTCTATAATGGAAATTTTCGTAAAAGTGCCGCGTTCAGAAGTTATGGCGTGAAAACCAAGTGAAAAGCCAATATGCTAATTGGCACAGACTTACCTCGACCGGTGCACTTGTTTTGTGGATGTTGAAGGCACGAGAAGTCGCAACAAACAACGTGTGTCGACTCCCGCATGCTATCTACTACTGTAGCTAGCCCGTGTCAGACTCTCCGCGAGCTACTAGCGGGAGACCACCAGTAAACACATACAATTAGCTATAGCCCAACCCATCAATTAGCTGTACTATGCATGTGCAGTCCATCGAATACTGGACTGCGTAGTGTGTATGTACATTATACTGTAAACTGCCTGTTGTGCAATGCTTTTCTATGACATAATGATGACATACTGTATTGTGCAATGATGCTTTTCTATGACATGTGTTGTGCAAAGCTAAAAATAGTAATTGTGCAATGCACATGATGAAAATAGTCTACCCTTAGTTACTTAGCTATATGCACAATTACTCTACATTCTTCGTGACTAACAACTCTATTAACTTGCGCCGAGGGTTTGCACTTTAGTGTTTTTCATTAAAACGTAAGCAATTTTGCTCTCGAGCTTTACCATCTCTCATTCTTGTCGCATAAATGTGCTCTGCTTGATGTATGGCTCTCTTGTCTCAGATGTTTGGGTTGCACGCCGTGCCCCGTCCACGTCCTGAGAGGCGTGTTTTGGAGATATATCGGCATCCTTGACTAGCTTTCTTTGGTGCTACAATAGCAAGGATTCCGTGCTTGTGTGTACGTGTAATATTGAAACTTGCGTCATAATAACAAAGGTAAAGTTACACGGTAGCTATATGTGCAGTGCCTGTCACATACATTAACCTTTGTTGTATCGTGTAGCACGCGAACACGAGTCACCGAGTTGGTTGATGATATTAATGTACCTCGACACATACAAAAGATCAGATTGGCAAGGTTATTATCCACAATCCAAAGTGACACTAAGTGACATAATTCAATACAAACAATGAGATTCTCCCAAACATTATTGGATCAATGTGTACATATGAGATTCAACTTAGCTTTCCACACACCATAGATGTGAAGAACTCTGCTATTAGAGGAAGAGTTTTTATTAAGTACTCCGCTTGATTGACGGTGACTGCAGATCTTGATGTGATGTGCACACAGAATTGGGGCTGCCCAGCCAGAAAACTACTATGTAGCTACTGGCTTGATACACCCAAGTGAAGTGATGGCGATCCAACTCTTGCTTGATTTTCGTCACAAAACAAATTGGACTTGGTAATGCTTGCAGGAGTGTGGAAGTTTGTCTTTTGACAGGGCGAAACACAAGGCAAGTGCACATCAAACAATTATTATACACGACACCTAGGACAACAGTTTTCAAAGAAAAAAGAGCTGCCCTAGGTGGGACTCAAACCCACGGCACTCTGTTCTCTAGACAAGTGCTCTACTATTAGGGCAACTCATCAGGCTCTGCTCAAAAGTCTGCGATACAACACAACACTGCCACATAATGGTTTCATGTTTTCGTGCAGTTTGTTGGCCTTGGTGTTTTTCAATTCTCATTGTCAAGCACCTGCTGTAGAGAGCGATTCAGCTCAACTGCCAAGACAGTTCAAGTGACTCAAAGAGTCAGACCTAAACACTCACACTACACTTACTCGCATTTACAGCGTCAGTGTTTCAATGTTATGAGCTGCGCAGGGATGAATGAAGCATCCAGGATGAAGGCACACAAAACATCCTACGCCATCCCTATTAGCTTTTGAAATGACATTGTCACATTCTCTGCCATCATAATTTGTGGGCATAACTAAGTTGCACGGTTGTTCAAAACTGCCTTTCTGTGCACATAGTTGCAAAACAGCAGATTGTGGGGCGAGATGTACACATGTTGTAGGATTTGGGGTGTTATGTTGCGAGTCAAAAAAGGGTGTTTTCCACTTATACAACCTGCAACACTATAGATATGCAAGTTAGAGACTAAGTGCGTGCGTGACTTGGGCTTAAAAAAGAATTTACTCACAATATTATCTACATAAGCAGTTTGAGGTCTCTCACATGGTGATTTTTTTGTTTTTATTTTTACTCAACCACAAAGGTTTGCATTTGTAAAACTGTACATTTTTAGTTTCAGTTCTAATGTGTCTGTAGATCCCCCGCTCTTTCAGTCAGTTCACCAGTGGATGATGTTCACAGTTGTATTATAATTTAGCGTGTGATTGCTGCAAGCTAGAACTTCAGGTAGCAGCTTCAGCCGACAGTAATCATGCCACTGCTCTTACAGAGTCTGGTATTGCTAATGGTGGGTTCTCTAGAAGTCCGTTGTGCCAGTGACGATGTCACCCAGTGTCCTACTTGGAAGTGGTTCAACTACTCTTCTGGCCTCTGTCAATGTGGGTATGATGTTGGGGGCGCCATAAAGTGCAGTGAGGTGGAGAATAGCTCAGTGAATGCAAGATTTGATGTCTGTGTTTCATGGGATAGCAACTCAAAGACTGTGCTCGCAAGTTTTTGCAAGTACAAAAAGACTAAGAACTTAAATACTGATCGGGTCTTTTCTGAATTACAGCAGAACCCCAATCATTTGTCTTACGATGAATGTGAGCACAACAACAGAGAAGGAATGTTCTGTGGTAGATGTAAACAAGGCTTCGCTCCTTCCTTTCATCTTTTTAGTGGGTCATGCACTAACTGCTCATATTGTCTTCATAATCCCGCTTTCTTTTTTCTGTTTGTTGCTACAGAAACAATTCCTCTCACTATCTTCTATCTTATAATAATGGGTTTGCATGTAAACTTACTTTCTGGCCCAGTGATAGGTTACATTATGTTTTGCCAGAGCCACATCAACTATATACATCTTCATCCGAATACCTGGAATTTTATGTTGTCCCAAACATGGAGAAAACTGATATTTTGGAATAGGTATGTACTCCTTCCTTTGACGGGCATTTGGAATTTAAATTTCTTCTCGATTTTTATACCAGAAATCTGCTACAGTTGCAAATTTGATAGTCTTGCTGTCATTTTACTTGAATATGTACCAGTTGGCTATATTTTTACGCTTGTTTTTCTGAGCTTCTTCTGCAGCAGACTCGATGTGAAACGAAAACTCTCATCTGTGAGTTTTATTAAACCAATTTTGCATCATTCCATCAGGTGGCGTCGCAAGTGGAGTGCAAGTGACTCTGTTATTCACTCACTTGCAACATTTACTGCTTTGCTTATTGTAAAAGTTGCAGCAATTTCCATTCAACTGCACTCTACTTCTGAGGTTTACAATGTTAACGGAACCAAATTGGATAACGTACTCACATTTGAACCCTTGATCAAACCGTCACACATTAAATACAAAGTATATGCTATAGCTACTTATGCCCCAATGATTATATTTATACTAATACCAGCAATATTGCTCTGTCTATATCCAAATCGGCACTTTCAGAATTTCTTAAGGCATTGTTGTGGACCCAGAAAGAGACTTGCTCTGGCAATATTTGTGGACACTATTTCCAGTGGATACAAAGATGGACTGGATGGTGGCAGAGACTGGAGGAGACTCTTACCCTTTTCCCTGTTTCTCTTAGTTGGGTTGCATTTTGTATACATAAGCAAGCATCTAATACTACCTGAAACGTATCTTATTCTTTCAGCTCCAGTATTTCTCCTTGTCTCATTTTTCATTGTGTACTTCAAGCCTTATAAAACAACACCAATTAATATGTCCATCGCGTTTCATCTCCTCATACTTTCTCTGTGTTGCCTTACGGTAGGACTCTGGATTCAGGACTTGTTTTTAAATGCAAGTTTCTTGGAGGTATTCCTAACAGTGTTGCTGAGTCTGCCTCATGCTGTGATGCTGTTATGGTTGTTAAAAAGTGCAATGAAGAGATGTTGGAAATGTTGTAAACACACTTAGTGCTCTTTCGGAAAAGTCCGATTCCTACTGCAGGGTTATGGATAAAAATGTTTTGGATTACACCATAGCGTTTTTGTTTTTATATATATAGCTGTTTCATAATTATAGTCTTGTTTCACTTTCACACATCTTTCTTTTATTATGTAAACCATAGTGTGTTTTCATTCAAGAGCTAGTGAGTACATTCAGTGTTTTTGCCTGCTTAAAAGTTCTGGTGCGTGGCTCTTTTAAAACACAGGATAAGGCTTTAATTGACCACCATTTCTAGTATCAAATATATATGAAGATTTTACTTGGATAAGGTAACTGGTAAAAGTAACTAGTATGAAACAAGTTGCACCCTCCGGCCTCATAGGAGGTGGGCCCAACCCACTGACACATGCATCCACTGAATCTCACTAGAAATGGACATGTACTGGTCTATGCTTTAGAGTCAGTGTGGTATTGTCCCAGTGAGAAACAGTGTGCAGACAGTAAGAGAGACTAGGCTAAGATAAACCACTTCTCCAAGAAACACTGCATGCTTTTTTACCACATACACAGAGCACATGACGGGCTTTCTTACAATGATGGTACCACCTGTACTCTCTGTATAGGTATGTCAGTGGTAGCTCTAGACTTGTTTGAAAAAAGCTAAGTTAAAACCTTCTGTAGCGTGGGACAATCATGGTTGCTATATTTTTGTTAGTTGTGGCAATGTTGTTGGTCAGCTTTACCTCGATAAGTTGGATGAGTCAAAGAAAGTTTTAGGAAAGTGTGTTTTGGTTAATGGTTCATGGTAGCTATACACCAGCAGCTAGAGTTTGAATCACTTGGAGGAAACAAGGCAAAACGGTGGAGACAATCTCTACTTCATTCTGGGAAGCCTTTACAGGTCTGTTCGGGGAAGTGCTGTTGTTGTTCCTGTTTCTAACCCACAACCCTCCTGTCCTACCTGTCCACTGCCGAGTGTTAGTTCTTTCCTTGTGAATGCTCTTTTAGTCTTCATCAAAGCGCACAGACTTAGGGGTGATGTTGAATCCCTCAAGAAATCTGTGATTGACTGTTTTAGCTCTGATGGTGTTGAGACTGCAAAGAAGCTTCTGTGGGATCATTGTGAGTGCGATCTGCTGTCAGCTGGTTTATTGTTTCATTCACGCCGTGACTCTGATAAGCGGGGTAGTCTGGCTGCTAAGATGATATTTTACAGGTATTTGACTCTCTAGACTCCTCTGATTTGATTCCACATATGTTCTGTGAGGCTCTGAATCTCTTGACTATTCAATCCTTGTCACCTGATCCAGTCTCAGACAGGATTCATTACAACACCATATCCTTACATAATCTTGTCTCGAAGGTGGAGTCTCTTGAGAGCACGTTTTCAACATTTCTCAACTCTGTTTCTGCTGGAAGTCAGGGTGGTACCTATGCCTCTGCTGTCTCTTCCGGTGTTCTTTGGCCACCAAAGTCACCACCTTCACAGATACAGAGCAGGAGTGCCTCTAGGTAACCAGTGCAACATGACACCCGTGATTCAAATATTATTCTTTTTGGTCTTCCAGAGTCTGGGTCAATTGTTGAAACAAAGAACACTGTTGACGAAGTTCTGGAATTTATTTTGGAAAAACCTGTTCCAATTAGGGATGCCTTCCAGTTCTGAGGGTTCCCCTCTCCCTTGCTCAGTTCTGGTGAAGCTTTCAACTCCTTGGGATTGTAAGTTAATCTTACTTCGCAAGAGAAACCTCAGAGGTAAAATCCCTCGCCTTTTTCTGCGTGAAGATGTGACTCCCGATCATAAACTTCGTTCACATAAATCAGGAACTTCTTCCTCTGCTGCTAGAAAGAGCAATGTGGCCTCTTCATCTCATTTGGTTACAGGTGAATCTTCTTCTCTATCACTTCCTCTTTCCACTGCAAGTCAGGTCACTGAGCTTTCTGGCCCTCCTTCCCTTCTTGACTCGTCTCATGCACTGTCACCAGTAACCTCTTCTTGCTCTTCCTCTCCAGCCACCTCCCAACCCTCCTCCTCTTCCTCTCATACGATTGTCCAGGGACAAGTTGATATATACTCCTTAATGGCTCCGCTACAGTGTGGTGTATTTAATTGTAGAGGGTGGAATAGTGGTTTACTTACTTTACAACATAATTATTATCATTGATTCCCTTGATTTGTTCTTTATTTAGGAGCACTGGTTGATTAATGATCATCTTCATAAGTTAAAGAGTTTAGTATGTTGCTGTTAGTGGCATGAATGATTCAACTTTATTGGTTGGCCGTCCCTTTGGTGGTTGCACAATCCTCCACAGGAAATCTCTCGCATCTTGTATTACTCCTTTAGTGTCATGCTCGGATAGATTTTGTGCTTAATTTCGCAATCCTTGTGGCTCTTCATTGTTGTTTATAAGTGTATACATGCCTTCTGCTTCATACTCAGCTACAGATTAACTTGACACTCTGTGTGAACTTGAAAGCTTCTAATCCATGTGATGGTGTATTGGTGATATTAATGTTGATTTTGGTCGTGGTGGTTCCTATGTTAATTTGTTGGATGATTTTGTGTTGGAATTAGATGTTGTTGTTTGTGATTTGTCTTTTGCTAGTTCTGTGCAATTACATCAATGTAAGCTAGTATGACTACCTGCAAGTCATACTCATTGGGACCACTCCTTACCCTGACTATACTCTCAGGTATAATACTGTTCCCTGTGGGTGTAGCTATGTATGGATGGTGTATTAGGGAGTTCAACATTGTCGACACGAGAGAAGCATTTCCAGTACACGGACTGGCCGGAGAACTCGGTCCCTGAGACTGGGTCGGCTCTCATCAATCTCTTTGGTTAGGTCCAGAGGTGGCAGAGGAGCTGCAACAACAAACCCAACTGCAGGTACTAATGCAGCCAGAACTATCTGTGGTAGTAGACAGTGGAACCTCTGGGGCACATTGGGACCATAGGTGTCATAGAACATTGTAACCAATGGGGTCTCACTATCAAAGTCTTGACTACTATATTTAGAGTGCCCTCTATAAGAAGTTTCACTGTACTACAGTCTCCATGATTCCCTCTCTCTAGTGGAGGATGTGGAAGGACTGGGACCTACATAGCAGTGAGCATCCTCATTGAGAGGCTGAAGACTAGCTAAGGGAGTGGTGGATGTGTTCCAGACGGTCCGCAAGTTGAGGATGCAGAGCATGGTGGCCAGTCCTGTGAGTATAGATAGCGTTCAGTGAAGCTGCTGTGTGTGTAACTCCCCTTTAGATGCTATATATGGTGTTCTTTATTTAGAGGTTATGAGTCCTTGATAGGGAGCCTTTTTATTCGAGGGGTGCCATTCAGTGGCTAGGCCAGCAAAACTGCAAGTTTTACCACCCCTTGGCAATCATGACAGGCACCCTTTGCCCTCTCTTCCCATCTTCCCTGTCTACAGGAGCAATACACAGGTTCTGCTACCAGACTCTCATTGAGTTTCTCGACTCCTTTGAAATGTACGCTAATTTGAAGTAAGAGAGACACCAAGTTTTTAAAATTTGTTTACAGACAATGTGATATTTTTATGCACTACTTAATGTTTCCGGTGGTTGTATTTCTACAAAACTTGTTCGAGTATATTGAAATGATACTTCTTTTGATTTGACAGCACATCCACAAATAGCAGGGGACTGAAGCTCTGGATGGGAGAGAGCGAAGAGAGAACACAATCATGACAGTAGGCATTAGATGGACAATCAGCATAATTATTCGTATCACAGTAAATGTGTTGTGAGCTGACACATTCGCCACATTACGTAGCATGACTTTTGCAACTAAACGGAGCTGTAGGCTCATGCACACCTGTAGTCCAGGAAGAACTGGTAGCAGAGAGACTATCATGTCCATTGACCCTCCAGCAGGCAGCTAATTATGGACCTGCAAATGGCGACGATTTCGTATTTCATCGGCTGGATATAATAAACCTTCCCAGTCACGCCAGTCCAGAGGATGCCAGCTCCTGGATGTTTCTCCGGTACAGATCGAAGCCTCATTGGTCCACCAAACCGAGATCGCCACACGATATCCATCTTTCCTACCTGCACATTACTGACCTGTAGGACATAAAATAGGGTAACAAAACACAGTATGCAACACTGTACAATGTGTAACAGGAATCCGCAATCAGAAGTTCCGAGGGATAAAAACTTTTGCTATTTATGTGGCAACATAGAAATTTACGCAGAAAATTTTGCAGATTGCTGGTTCAACCGTAAAATGGTCACAGCCTACTCGCGGATACATATATAAAACTTTGACACTTTGCTTTGAACTGGTTACATTTGCCAAGTTACATTTTCATTTTCCATCTGCTACACCAGTGAGAGACTGACCATGCCGGAAGTTTGTAGAGGACTGAGGGGTACAGGTGTTGACGGATGTTCCGTGGAGGAAGAAGGTTATCTTACAAACTGCAAAACAAACATTATTGAGTTGGATAATAGGTTTTTTTTTGGCTGACTTGTTGGTGCAAATGGTGTTCAAGTCTTGGGCTCTGAACCCCGCTGAAGGGTCAAAGGTTACGGTGTCGAGAAACATGTGAGTGGGCATGACATGCTGTATCTGAACCTCCAGAAGAATGTCCTCCTGTGTGAAGATCATGTGACTGTCATTTGACTCGATGTGTAAAGCAATCTCAATGTTCATGAATTTTGTCTTCGTCCAGCAGCTTCGCTACCTGTATTTAGACCAAGACTGAATAGCTGAGTGTCTTACCCCAAACATGAAGGACTTTCTCAACAGCATCTCTTCTCCGGTTGCAAAGACCATTTTATGAGGCAGTATATACATATCGGACTACAGTAGAGAGACGGTCCATGCAAAATAACAGCTCACACTTAACTTACATACTACATATTCACATTTCAAGCATACACAGGGGAGGGAGAGGAAGAGGGAGTGAGTGAGAGATAGAGCTGTGGAAAATGTTAGTGGTAAGCTGCTCCTGGCCACGGCACCTGCTAGCTGCGCTGCTGTGTCTGTGTAGTTGCATTACACTGACAGTAGAAGGTATGGTCTGTGACTCTGGATCGGCGGGAAGAATTCGCTAATTTGTTTATCTCTACTGTGATTCTTCCTCCATCACCTAAAAATATTAATGTTGCCGGTCAGCGGCTGAATTTCGTTGTCCATTTCTGTCATCTCTCCACAGGACTGACTATAAATGTGAATAATGGTCAAATATCCCTTTCTAATGACAACATGACGAGAATTAGTGTGTATGACTTTGCCTTTGAGAGCTCAAATAGTAATTTCGACAGAGCTATCAGGTGTCAGTCTGAACTGGTCTGTCTCTGAAGTCAGTTCAACTTATGGATGTCATGTTGGTGATGGAGACACTCCAGTCCCTAGAGTTTTGTAGACCCAGACCACATAGTAGTGCTTGTTGTGTAACTCGAGGATGGAGTGGAAGAAGAGTAGACGACGAAGGTGATTATAGAGTATTTTACTTGTGGGGAGGGAAAGTCCAGAGGAAGGGTATATCAACTGTCATATGATTTATGACATTAACCCTGTATTAGGACTGTGCGTCCTCTACCCCAGTGAGTAGCCATCTCTCATGATTATATAGTGAGATATAATTATTCTTGTATGATTCCTCTCCTCCAGTCACTGTTGTAACTGCAGCTATTGAGGTGGAGGCAGTGACATTGACATTCAGAGTGAGGTGCAACTCCACTGGTGGTAGAGCTCTCAACCTGGTCGTCTCTGGACCTAATGGATACAACTCTGACATCAGTAAAAAATACAGCCATTTGGTACTCCACTGTTTCTGAGAAATTCCAGGTACACTGCCAGGACAGAAGTCATATCCAATGGCATGGTTGGAGGTGTATTCCAGTGCAATGTCACTATTTTGCATCAAACTTTAGCAGTGTGATTTTGACAGGTAACGGCTCTGACAGTATCCCTTTTTATTATGGCTGCCCTGTTTCTCTACAGTTGCTACAATTCCAACCCTCGATTCACTGGTTCAAAAAGCTCCTACTGCCGTCAGAGTGACCTGGAGTCCACCATCTGAAACCTCAATAACTGGCTACAGTCCGCTACTCTGTTTCTGGTGGAAGTGTGACTATGACTGATATTATGAGCTCTACTACTAGAGAAATCTCTGGTCTCACTAATTGAAGGACCTACACCTTCTCAGTAACATGCTACCTGCAATATCGGTTGAGATGACTATTAGCTACACTGGGTTAGTGGCTACAACTTCAGTTTACAATTCCCATCCTCTCTCTTTTTCTCTCTTACAGCATCTCTTGACACTCCTGAAGGTGTATTGGTTGCTGCAGAATCATCCTCGGTCACTGTGTCCTGGGGGGGAGTGGATGATGCTGACAGTTATACTGTCACATTCTCTAAGGCTCAGGGAACGAATCAGGAAGGACTATGTTCTACTGACTCTGCCATTCAGACAGTGGATGCTCCCTCCACTACTGTCAGTATTGCTGTAGGAGGAGATGTTGGGTCAACAGTGACTGATATGTTGAGAGCCTACACCACATATGAGGTTACTGTGGAGGCAGTCAGTGATGTTGGAGGTATATACCAGTCGACCCAGTGAGACTAGGAGAGTTCTATCACCACACAGACAAGTGAGACTCACTGAGGATTGTGGTCTCACAGTCTGTGTGTATGTCTGCATGTGTATGTACAGGTGCAAGAGAGGCTCCTGGGGATGTGAGAGCAGAGGCTGAGAGCTCCAACTGTAAACTGGTCAATGGTCGAATCACTCAGTACAGAGTTCAATATGAGACTTTTTTCACGACTGAGACTAGAGACTATATTCTGGGAGATAGTGAAAACTGGAACAGTGGAGGACGAGTAGCTAACTCTGACTGGACTGACTCTCTCCACAAACTACTCCATATCAGTAGCTGCTGTGAATGAGAATGGAGATGTTGGACTCAACTCTGACCCCACAACAACAATGACACACCAATGTATTACAATATCAGTTGCTGCGATGATATTGCCATTGCTCTTATGATACAGTTAGTTGTGAATCTGCTGATAGTCTCCAGTCATCTGGTTCAACTGGTATGATTGTTGGAGTGGTGATAGGCCTCCTACTTAGTGTAGCAGTGGGTGTCTCTGGACTCATCGGTGGAGCAGTTATTGCCAAAAGACACAGGTACCGTCACCAGTGTCTGTCATTCAGCCATGCTCTCTACACTATGTTACAGACCAGCTGAGGCCAATGGAGGCATGGCAACAGAGGCCAACCTAGCATATCGTATGAGTGGTCCTCATGGGAAACCAGCAGAGACTGAAGGAGAGTATGAGATTTCTCCATACACCCAGCCACACCATCTGGGGCTGAGGGGGTTTATGAGGGTGTCTATTGACATAACCCATACCTACAGCTACTTAGTATACACCATAAAAATGTTTGTTTTGAGTCCATGTAGTGACATACATTCTGTGTGGGCCTTTTTATAAAAAGTGCAAGTATTGTGTGACTGTATATATATGCCATCTAGTTTGCTAACAGTGCAAGCTGCGGAAAATGTGTCATAGAACAAACCAGCAGGGACTATAATATCGCTGCTCATCATTGGTTCAAAATAGTGCATCTTGTGACATAATGTGTTGTTTCTCTGACATGTTTTTGCTTATTCTACGGAAGCGCATTGGGGCCGTGTGCACTTCCAAATCGTGCTACTTCTCACTTCCAAATTATACCACTTCCAAATTGTACCCCTTCCAAATATGTTGATAATCTCAAAAGCCAGGAAGTTGGTTGGCCTACTTTATCGACAGTTTCAGAGCAACACTTATCTGGCCACATTGTTCAATCTCTATGTCACTCTTGTTCGTCCACACCTGGAATACACATGTGAAGTATGGAGCCCTCACATGCAGAAGGATATGAAAAGCTGGAACAAGTACAAATATTTGGATTGCGCATGTGCACTAAGAGGTGGAGTGCTGATTACATTGAGCTGCTATCTCTATTCAATATTCTCTCTCTTGGAGATCGTAGCTAAGTTTATGCACAATGTACAAGATAATTAACAAACTTGTGGACGTCTCTCAAAATGTTTTCGTTCCAAAGCCGCCGACCAATCTCCGCTCATCCAGATCAACCTCACTCTTCACCCAGCCATTTGCAAGAATCAACACCCTGAAATACTCTTATGTACCTCTTACCCTGTGCAATCTGGAACACATTACCGAACCATATCACAGATGCTCAGTCCCTAATGGCCTTAAAAAAACTACTTATCAGATACATTTTGTCTCTTGAGCACTAATTATTCATTCACTTAT